CTCACATTCACCAGGGCAAACGCGCTTTTATCAAAGACATGGCCCAGTACTGGATCCCACCGAACTCCAAGCCCTCCACAGTTGCTCCCTCGCTCGCGAACTACCGCCGCGGCGTTGGAACAGATACCACACAGCTCTCGCCCGTGCAAAGCCGCAAATCCACCGACGCGGCCCCATACCCTTACGACACCAAAGGCGAGCCCAACAATCCTACTGTCATACCTGCGGACCTCCTAGCAACATACCACTTCACATTCCTTATCCGTCACCCCAAGTACAGCATCCCTAGCTACTACCGCTGCACAATCCCGCCACTCGACACCATGACAGGCTTCTACAACTTCCGCCCCGACGAGGCTGGCTATGAAGAGCTCCGCCGCCTTTTCGACTACCTACGCTCCGAAGGTCAAATCGGGCCCAAGTTTGCCAACCAGGCCGCGCCCGAAAGCAATGGAACCAATGGAACCAACGGAACCAACGGCCATGCTAATGCAGGCGTGGAGATTTGCGTCATCGATGCAGACGACCTTTTGGACAATCCATCGGGCATGATTGAGGCGTTTTGCAAGAGCACGGGAATCAAGTGGGAGCCAGAGATGTTGGTTTGGAAGACGGAGGAGGACCAGGCCATTGCAAAGGAGGCGTTTGAGAAGTGGAAGGGTTTCCACGAGGATGCGTTGGATAGCACGGAATTGAGGGCAAGGACTCATGTAAGTTGTCATTATTGATTGCGGATGCTGGAGTAAAGATTTGCTAACGATTGAGCAGAAGAAAGCCCAAAAGTCCGACGAGGAGATGTTCAAGGAATGGTCAGACAAGTACGGTGAGGAGGGCGCAAAGGTTATTCGCGACACGGTTGCAGCGAACGTGGAACATTACGAGTATTTGAAGCAATTTGCTATCAAGCTCTAGATCATCCTTGTTGAGAGGGAAGAATGGCACGAAGGACTTGCAGCATTTTATACCAGGAAGCAATATCTTAAGCAAATTAAATTTCAAATGCACAACAAGACCATTACATATATGTGACTTGTCGTCCATGAAGACGAATTTTGTTGTGGAAAACATATATTGATAACAGCCCTCCCCGTCGCTTCGATTCCCCTCTCAACCCAAATCGTAACACACCACACTACACCACCCCACGCCCCACAAAAACCTAACCTCAGCAATCGCCCCTGAATCATACGATTCGCCAGACGTCTTCTGACACGACCGTTATCTCCACGGCCCGGATCGCTTCGGCACTTGCACACCGCGCGAGATCAGTGCTGACTCAGATCCGCCTCTTCTTGCCTTCTCACCCAACATGTCCAATTTTCTCCTCCACCGCCGCTTGGTACTTTTATCACTTTCCTTCTGGTGAGATGTAAAATTCTCGCTTCATATGAAATGCATACTTTACTTTTGCCACTGCTTATTACGTTATTGCATTGCTGGTGATGAAAGTACATGATTGGTCGTTCGGGAGTGTAAAACCCCTGTGGTAATTGGTGTGAACGGACTTGGTTGTGAGTAAGAGACGGCCTGATACGACGCCATGTGAGACGACGATTCATTGAAAAGTGTTGTGTTTCAGCTTATCGATTTCGGAGATAAAGCCAAGGAGTTCCAGATGCACAGTGATATGACGTACAGTAGGATCCATGTTGGGGGCGGTAGAATTCACGAGGGTGGCAGAAATGTCAATGTTACAGCTACCAAGTCCGATGAACACGATACATCAAGGAAGGAGAAATTGGGGTAAGGGCTTTTGAGTGTTAAAAATAATCGAGTCCAAAGATTATTGGTTACACTACTACGTCAATTGACGCAAAAGGTCAGAGGTATATCCCGCCCATTCATATACATTTCCGTCAAATCATCCCACATCAAGCCCGTTATGCGACCAGAAATGCAAGAGTGTCAACACCGAAACGCCAAAGTCCAGACTCCAACGCTAGCATTGCGCGTGCCAAATGCAAATGACTGTCAGGATGAGGTTATGCGCAAGTCGAAACAGACCGGTCAAGGATGGCCGAGCTCGATTTCTCTTCTCCGTTCCTCGCGACTCAGGCCTCGCGAGTGATTACTCCGCTGGTCACTGCTCGACGGGCGGTTCGTTGTCCGGCCGCGGTCCTGCCAGCGCTCCCAGGCTTGTTGCTCACTGAGACTGTCAGGTCTGCTGTCTGCACGATTACGACCCCAGTCTGCATGCGTGGGGCCTGGTGTGCCCACGAGTTCCTGGCTGCGGGCTATCCTTTCTTGCTGTTCTAGGTCTTCTGGGAGGTCTATGCGGAAGGTAGCGCTGTTCGCGTCGGGGCTGGGTCGCGGGTCTGACTTCCTGAGGAGAAGTGCCATTTGCTGGTTGACGCGGTCGTCTTCGGAGATGATGGCTTCGGGCGATGCAGCGGGAGCGCGGCTGGCGGTGGGGTACATGTTCTGCACAAAGTTGCTGTAGTACGATTCGTTGGACCACAGCTGGCGCGGTCCAGCCTTCTCCTTGATCTTGACTATGCGGCTGTGTGTCCATAGGAGGAGGGCGGTATATGTGAGTGTCGCGGTGGTGGCCACGACGGTGCCAGATATGGCCGAGGTGCCCCACGTGTAGGAGCGCGAGGAGCCAAAGTTGTAGGCTATCGAGAGGAGCCCGAGGGCGGAGGAGGCGAGGGCGGGGCTGTCGTGTGTTAGTGCTTGCCCTGAAGTTGAAGGGTATGGCGCATACAGAAAGACGGCCTCTGCCTGGAAGAGCTCATTGCGACAGGCGAAGCAGAGCAGCGCGGTGAAGGAGTAGCCGGCGGTGAGGAGGGCGACGACAAAGACGGAGAGCACCGCCTGGCTGAATCTAAGCTGGGGCTCCGTTGCGTAGAGGCCGGGCAGAATGAGGTAGCTGCGCGGGTGTTAGCTTCCATCTCGACGTTGGCCAGCAGGAAGGCACGACGCACCCTCCCAGAATCATCCACGAGGCGGCAAGAGCAATCAGGCGCCAGTACCATGGCGTCGACTCCCTCTTCTCATAGCGCTCGTCGCCAATGTGGATGTAGCTCTTGTTGCCGCCGCGCATTGAGCTGTCGTTCGCGCCGTCTGCGGGGAGCTTCGCGATTCAGGTGCCTGAGCCTCGACCTCGACTACTTCAGCTCTCGCGCGCTGCCAGCCAGCCGTTCAAGTATCCCCTCATGCAGCGCACGCGAATCAAATCTGAAATGGACGAGCGACCGGTGCAGCGTGTTTCGCAACCCTCAGCTGTCTCTATCTTGGGTGCAACAGATGAGGCTCTCGCTATTCCTGGCACGCGCAATCAGCCTGACGCGGTGCAGATCGCTTCGGTACGTGGATTGCCTGTTTAGCGCCGAGGTGTGAACAGCAGCAGGCAGACGGAAATACGGCAGCAACAGGAGAATAGCGAGTGTCGGCAGATGTCAGAAACTTATCTGAAGGCAGGAGAGACGGTAAGAAGGAAAAACGAGCGGCCTGAGCTGAGCGGTCGAGGTTGCGAGGGCGCCAATGTTGCTCGTATGTGTGCTGAGGCGGAGGACAGCCTGCATCCGACTCAGCCACGAGAGACGCTGAATGCCACCCTGCCCGCACCCTCAATAGCGTCTTGAGTGCGGCCTTGTAGAAGGCGACTCCTTTGATCCATGCTGCTCTGCCGTCTTGATTTCTCCGCTCATCCCCATCGCCAGTGCTTTTTGCCGTGAAGCCATTTCGGCCCTCCTTCATCTCCCGATATGAGCATCAAAGGGCATTCCCAGACCTCCGTGCGGCTGTCAGCTCGTTACCCTCGCCAAGCCTCTCCTCCGAGCTGTTGCTTTGGCTGACCGCGCCCCATACCACAGTAGACCACTTGCAGAATCTCACGCCTCGAGCCACCGCTTCTTCGCTGATCCGCCTCGCCATGTTTCGCTGCAATTCTTCGCCCCAAACTCCGTCGACCGCTCATGCACCGCGACTCACCACGTCTACGTGTTGCTGAGACATGTGACGTAGCTGCATCTTGTCGACGAGCTCCATGGCAAGCCCATGTTTATTGTGCATTACTGGCATCGACAGCCGTTCAAGTATCGGACCGCCGCAAGGTCACGCGAGCTATTTCAAGATACTAACATCTGCTGGGCGACGAGGGTTGTGTCGCGTATCTCGCATGTGCCACACGTGGCTGGCTTGCACCGCCTCGCCAACAAGGCATGGCAGCCTTCATCAGGACTCCAGCGTACGACGCTCGGAACGATCGTCACTTCTTCAACCGAATGCGCCGTTTCGTTCTTTGTCACGTTTGCCAATGTCCAATCCAGAGCTGATACTATTTGGCCCGGACCAAGGGTACTCCTTGCACATAACCATCCAGGCACAACGGAAACTTATTTGCAGCAGGGCAAGTCGACATCTCAAGTGCGTCCTGAGAGTATGTACAGAGTGCAGATTTCCATTTCTCAATCATCATATGCCTCTTCCTCCTTTCGGAATTATTTGTACGAGGCCAATGCCATGCACTCGCCTACCCCTGCTGTCATCAGCCACATTATTCTTATTCATCTCTCGAACATGTTACTCATCTACACCTCCTCACTCTTCTCCAATGGAAGAGACCTCGAAGTCCGAAGTTGCGGCTTTCGAAACCTGGAATCGTCTGTGAGGGCAAGTGTGTGCCGAAGGCTTCATCCGTCAAGCATGGTCATGCAGAGCCGCAGAGAAAAGGTGCAAAATTACTGCATCGGACTACAGGTGCAATAGACACAGTCCGAAGCAATCTCAAGAATCAGACTGGAGTATAACGAGTTATGCTCGGAGGTCTCGCCAATCATATAGACGGATTAGACTCCACTCAGCCAACCACGTCTGGACTTTTACCCGAGACCCACTCTCACACATTACTGCTGCCCAAACGAAATTCTCTCTACTTCTGGGCTTCGTCGATAGTACCATGGCCGACTCAATCCAATACTTGTTCACGTGGTAGGATATACATCACCTAAAATTTGAAACAGCCATCAACATCTCATCAGAGATTCGAACTCGCTCAATCTTCAGTAGTATAGTGGTCAGTATTCCGGCTTGTCATTCCAGCTCGCCGGCGACCGGGGTTCAATTCCCCGCTGGAGAGGTTTGTAATGCGGTTCGTTCTTTTTGTTTTTGGTTTTGAGAAGTTTTGAATTGGTTGTGTGAAGTTACACGGTCATGGGGGTGAAGTATGTATGTATGCAGCCGGGTGAGTGCGGTGGACATCAGTCATGTCTTTATTGATATTTTTGTTAAGACTCTATTCACGTTGGTACGGTAAACTTAAGCCTTCATGTATGCGATGAATATCAATTCGTGCTAATTTTGTCGTTGCGCGAACAATCGTGTCGAGGATATCGAGGTTGCATGCGACGGCATCAAGCCTTCATGTGCCGAGGTCAGCCCATTCCCCAGCCAGCGGAAAATTGCCTAGAAGCACAGATCACGTTGCATAGATCCATCCGGATATCAAGCACTGTGCTTTACTTGGTCTCGACCAGTCGGCTGAGCACCGGCACTCCACCAATTCCGATCTTGCACTATCTAGCTGCGGATAGTGCCGTATCGTACCGAACGGAAGCTTGCCAACGGCTATCATCACATCATTGACTTGAATGTGTGCATAACGGTTCGATACCAATTCACATGTGATTCTCCGTTTTGGGAGTATAACAGAGCCTCTCGTATCCCTATGGGCCTACCCAACCAATTGTCTCAAACTTTGATCTCAATGTCTCATGGTCCTGATAAGGCCCTGAGAACATGAAAACTTCATATCATACTCGAAGCATACAATCACATACTAATGTCGCAGTATTCTGTAGTCTGGGTAGTCGTGCCTACATTCAAAAGTAATAACAATAATTACCGCGAAATCTGACTACAGTCTAGCTGGCTGCTGGCCGTCGATCATGGTCTGGGACCAAATGAATGGTTCTAGACAAAAGGAATTTCGCATTGAGATTCGGTGAGAGGAGCGTGTGGACACTGGTCGACAAGCTCGGATGCGAAGAGATCCAACTGCACATCGATGATTCATTATTGTTGACCTTTCCTGTAACAACAATACTCTTATTGGATACCATCTCGACTGGAGTACCAACTGAAAATTATTAACCATGGTTTCGCATGGTTTGGCGCGGTAATCAAGGGCAGGAGCCCGGGCGCACGGCAAGGACAGCGACCTGGAGAGCAGCTTCCAAATGGACGCCCATCAAGCGAATTCTTTTCTCTCTTCACCTGTCCTCTCTTTTGAGCAAGCTTTCAATGCCCTTCGGCTTCGGAGCGTGATTCCTCACCATTCTCTGTCGCTCTTTTGACAATAACTTCGTCGAGCCCCGCTTCCCATCACCTATCTCCGCATCACCATCTTCTCACTTCAAAATGGCAGAACCACCAGCTGGCCAGATTGCAGCGTCTGGGCAATCCTCCACGCCCACCATCCCCGCGCGGCCATCTGTTGAGGTGTCCGCGCAGTCCGACCCGCTCGCCACCTTCACGCAGTGTTCTGTGCCAGAATCCTCCACGGCGTCTCTGTCCAAAGCAGATTGTGTCGTCGACGTAGCACCTCCTCTTCCTGGTCCGGTCACAGACCGTAAGAAGCGCTTCAAGCTCTCCTGCTTCACCCTCCGGCGGCGTAAGGCCCAGCTGGAACAAGGCCAGCCCAATCAGGAGCAGGAGCAGGAGCAGGGCGAAGCGGCTGAAACCACTGAATCCCAAGACCCGGTGCTGAGCACTTCTTGTGATGCGTGCGGACGAGTGGACAGCCATATCACGCGGCTTTGCCCGCAGCCGAAGGAATGTGGGCTATGCTTTCTGCCCGGCCATGACGCGGAGAGCTGCGAGTTGGGCTTTCTGGCTTCTTTTGGTCGCGGCATGACCAAGGTCGAGCCAGGTGTCAACGATCACCCGGATGCGAGGAGAAGGGCCATGCAGGCAGTGGTTGCCGCAATGAAGAGGATGGAGAAAAGGTATGATCTATGGTCCCGATCTACCATCAAAGCTGACAAATAGCAGGGTGCAAGACGCCTACGAAGAAAGGGAGAAGAACTTGGAGGTTGGCCTCACTGACGCTGATAGAGGTATGCTACTTCGTCGCTCTCCGGGTTCAAGAGATCATGCTGATTGATTGACAGCGAAATTGGCTTCATTTCGGCGACCGATGCGGGACTTCTGGGAAATGATACAGGCTTACCAGGACCTGCATCTCGGGGCAGATGATGCCTATTCTACTTTCCTCGTCTCGCTGGAACAGCAAAAGGCCGAGCAGGAATGTGTGGAGGGACAACGGGCAGACCAAACAGAGGCTGTAGAGACGCAAGCAGACCGGGAAACTTTGACTTGAAGACAAATGGTCGATTCGTCTCCCATTCATCCTGCTGCCGCATGGTGAGTTGACACAAGGCGCCCTCGCCGATCACATTTGCGATGAACGCTTACTAATGCCACTGAATTAGCTGATGCCTTCAGTTGGCCAAACGTCCCAGGAGCATCCATGGCTCCTCTACCTCTCCTCCCATTACAACAATGACTCATCCGGCAGAGCTAATCCGTGAGCATCTGCGCTCATTATACCAATCGTCCCCAGGAGCATCCAGACGCACCTCCTTTGCTGCCCTCCTTATGAGGTGAACCAACACGAGACGTTCAAACCCAATAGCGCAACGTCCACGCTTGTTGCAGCTCACCAACGGTCTTGAACGCACATCGCCAATCTTCTCAACAGCGTTCAAGACTCCGGCAGCCTGCACTTCGTTCCGTCAGCGCCTGGGGTCAAATAGCCAATCGTCTGAGGGATATCAAAGTCGATCCCAGGCAGTCGCGCCTACCAGCTGGCTTTACTGGGAAGATACGAATAAGCGTGGCCTATCCGAGAGGATGAAGAGGGAGAAGATTACAGGCTGAGAATCGCGTTGGTGTGCGGCAAGCGTCTCAGGTTGTTACGCGATCATGTCATTGTCTCTGCTGGGGCCTATTGCTGCTTTCGTTGCTTTTGCTGCATTCCGCTTAATTGATGCTTTGATAATTTGCTATCCTTGGAGTTGTGAGGATTGGGATCCTGACTTTGAAGATTCGAAGTATAAACGTATCTCTTTTCGCTGATCTAGGGTATACTCTTCTATAGTACCAGTCGCATTTTATCGTCTTGCCCTACATGCATTGCCTCATTACATCACCCATGAACGCCTCACATGCCAAAACGCCCGCGCTATGCTCATATCGCTTCTATGATATTAGACCGCCTCGCGTGAATGCCCATGCTTAGGACGACGATTTAGTCAATAAGAATCCGACATTACATCCCTCCTGCTTCAACACCTCAAGAAACACATCGTCATCCACCGCCAGGGCTTTATCATCCTCATCCATTCCGGCGTCATTTTTCAATAACTTCGTATCAATATGCCGATACTCCATCAGCATACGCAACTTTGGTTGTTTCGACGCGCGCCGAGCCTTGATCTTCGATTCTTGAAGCTCTATATCGACCTGGCTCGCGGGCTTGAGTTTCAAATACAGGTTCTCGTCTTCATCTTCTTCGCTGTCTTCAGACTGGTCAACAGGTTCAGGTTCGAACTTGATTTCCGGTGCGCCCTGGCAACCACATGTGCAACCCAGTAGATCATGCGTTTGGCAACCTTCGCGTTCGTCAAGACGAAAAAGGTCCTTGAGTTCGTCTTTTGAGAAGGATGATGCAGATGCTTTGTTGTCTACGACGGCATTGGCGAGACCCATTTTCATGACTTGGCGTTGGTAGATCTTCTCGTCGATGCCGCCTTGGACGAGGAATCTATAGATCTTGACTGGTAGCTTTTGCCCATCACGATGGATGCGTGCCATGGCTTGGAGATCCGTAGCTGGATTCCAGTCAATGTCGAACAGCACGATGCGACTTGCGCCGATGAGGTTGAGACCCACACCGCCGGATTTCGCCGAGAGAAGGAATGCGAAAGACGTAGACCTAGGTGTCTTGTTGAACTTTTCGACGAGAGCTTGGCGTTTTGACGCTGGTGTGCTGCCGTCCAGACGAAGATATGTATACGACAGCGAGACAAGCAGACGTTCAATCATGTCGAGTGTCGTCGTGTAGTTTGAGACGATGACAATCTTCTCTTCTGTGGTGGTGTAGATCTGATGTACAAGGCTGTCGAGAAGACGGAGCTTCGTGCTAGAAGCATGTGACTTGAGCACTTGGGCTGGCATGATTGGAAGCAAAGCTTGGAGCATCTCCGAGGGCGTTGCTTCGCTGTCCTTCGAAGCGCTGAGCAGGAAAGGACTGTTACAGACCTTCTTCAGGACCATGATTAACTGCAGTGCCAAATCGGTGTTGCCGAGCGCAGCACCGAAAATGGGAGACGAGAGGATGGCGCGGTAGGCTTCAGCTTGGGCTTTGGTCGGCTTCACGAAAACAATGTGCTCCGTTTTTGGCGGGAGGTATTTGCTCAACACTTCCGCCGTGCGTCGAATCATGAAGCGACTCGTCAAAGACACGAGCTCCTTCCAGCGTGCCTCACCCTTTTCGAGCTCCGACTCACTTGACTCAGGTTGACGACTGCGGAGAATCGGCGCCTCGAACGTGCGTTTGAATGCGGATCGCTGTCCAAGTAGTCCTGGATTGACGAAGTCAATAGCAGTGTAGAACTCGCCCAGGTCGTTCTGCAGCGGAGTGCCCGAGAGGATGATGCGTCGTTCAGTATTGAGCGATTGGATGGCTAACATGGCTTTGTTATTCGCAGTCTTCAGCCGATGACCTTCGTCTGCGATGACGATGTCAATACCAACACCTTTCTTCAGCTCCTCTTGTACGGTCCGGAGCATCTCGTACCCGACGATCATGACGTTGTACGCTTTGCCCATGGTGAAGTTTGTGATCTTCTTCTCTTTCCCGTTGGCAACAAACACTCCTATCCTCTCATTACCAAGCCATTTACGGAATTCGCGCTTCCAGTTGTCGACTAGACCAGCAGGACAAACGATGAGTGCCTTTGTGACGACCGGGCGAGTATCATGGATGGGGTTCTGCTTCATAAGTGTCCAGAGCAGTGTGATTGTCTGCAGCGTCTTCCCGAGGCCCATCTCATCCGCCATAATTGCGCCCTCACC